AGATTCCTGCAAGAGGAGACGAACTTAACGCATAATCGAAGATATCAGAAATAATGTGTAGAGTATTAATTAATTAAATAATGTGTAGAGTATTTTGAATTTATTTGATTAGTTCTCATCATCGTCGAAATGTTCCTTTAACATGTACTGTTTACTAAAACACTATTCTCGTTGAACATAAAAATACGCTATAAAGTACCAATATATTCTCGATATATTAACCATGATCATAATTGTTGTAATGGAATGTCCCACACTCCCTATCGCCTATGGGGACTGACTATATCAGTAGATATATACAGCAAGCACCGGATATACCGGGTGTGGTTGGGGGCTTGCTTCGGCAATTACTTGGAGATTCGTCTCCAGTTGTGTTGGTGGAACTCTCTGCCTTCGGGCAGAGAGGAAGCCAGACGAGGTTACGACGAAGGGCGTAGCCTCGTCTGGGGTAGTAGCTACCCGACCTCGTGTATACAAGGAATTTTTGCCAGAGCCTACGGGCTCGGTTTTGCCCCGCGTTACAAAACGGCCTTATGTGTCACATCCTAACTCGCGGTGAGGTAAGGTAACTATCCTTGCTTCGGCAATTAGTTGGAGATTCATCTCCAGGCTGTGCTGGTCGAACTCTCTGCTTACGGGCAGAGAGGGTCCCAGACGAGGCTATACCGAAGGGCAGAGTCACGTCTGTGGTGGTAGACAGCTACTCGACCCCATGTATACGGGGTCTACGGGGAATTTTTGCCCCGCTTTAAAAAACGGCCTTATGCCACATCCTGCCTCGCGGGGAGGTAAAGTAAATATCTTTGCTTCGGCAATTAGTTGGAGATTCGTTTCCAGATGTGCTGGTTGAACTCTCTGGTTTCGGGCAGAGAGGATCCCCAGAAGAGGCTATGTCGAAGGGCAGAGTCTCTTCTCGGGAAACCGCTGTTAGCCTGCCACCCGATTTCCTGTCTTTCAGTAGTGTGTTCTTTTTTCTTTTTTTTTTTTACAATAAACCTCTCTTTCTTTCATCTACGCGCGTGTTGCTTTTTCCTTCACTCGAGTACCACCTTTGTCTGTCTGTAACCTCTTTAAGGATACAACAATAATTATGCTATACTTTTATATTTCACCCTACAGCCCCTTTCTTACAACTGAGACGCCGCAAGCCTCGTTATTTTTATGGAGCTTGTTCAGATGAACTACATTCTTTAGTTCAACCAGTTCTAACCTTCGCAAAACCCGCCATGCCACGCTCATTGTACCAAACCACCCTCATTCCCTTCGTATTTCATTGGTGAGATGCAAGCTCCACAGGAGCAGCTTCTTCCCACGAACCGCTGCTTTGTGGAACCGATTTCCAAGATGATGCTTACCTGATCATTACAATCTTAACCTGCTGAAGTCTAGGGTTAACCGTTCTCTTCCTCACATATCCCCATAAACTGTGCCTCTTACTCTGTAACTTTCTACCTCGAGTGTCTCTTGGGCCTTGACACAGAGTGAACAGCATTGTAAACAAATTGATTATATCTAATAAAAGTTATATGCTATAGGCTTAAAATCATCATTTTTGGGTAGTTTTAATTGCTCAGTCTACGAGGGACGGCTGAAAAGTTCATAATCTGACCAAGATACTCTCATGGAATATGACAAAATGAGGTTTATTTTTGGACATGTTCCCCCTTATGGGTCCGTACAATTCTTCCACAGCCATCCCCTAATATAGCAACCATGTCAGCATGAGAATGTCTTAGGGGGCTAAACCATTTTTCTGAATATACTTGATGCACCACGATGCCAAATTTTGTTTATTTTCATAAGCAAAAGCTACTAGTTACATTTTAAGTTTTCTTTGGACAGTTTACCTGGGAAGAAACAATGCAGTTATTATTAATAAGAAGAGTTGAAATGAACGCATACAAGATTTCACAGCTTAAGCATTACTCCTTCATAGTCAGCCTATGAACTTTTCAGTCCACGCTTGTAATTCATAGAAAATATAAACAAGTATTGTGATAACACTTTATCTTTCTTTGACATATTTTTCTTTTATTCTTTGCTATATATGAGAACTCTCATGTTGTTCTATATTCCATGACGGTAAGTTGAATGAACTAAGAAATTCATAGAAATATTAGGATATTGTTAAAAAAGGGGAAAAAAGAATGGGTTCTCCTTGGGTGATAAAAGTGTACTTAATTTTTTTTTAACTCATTAATGAAAGATTTTGTTCAGCATCCTTAAGGTTCTTCAAATGGAAATAATCTTAAGTGCGCAAAATAAATAAGTAAATTAAGTCAGGATTAAAGAAACAAAAAGAAGTAAACTTTCTGCTAAGAATAAAAAAAAGAAGTTCTTTGTGTCATTTTTCTTCTTCTCCATCTTTGTTATACTCTCTCACAAAAGCGTACACTCATGGATACACATAGTGAATCGTATATAATTAAGATTTTCAGACAGTGAAGCCTCTATATATATATTTACTTTCCGATTCTGTTTATTTCTACTTTGTATAAATATTTTGTAATGATATTAACTTGTATTTGTAAATATTTAGGAAATTTTGTTTGGTTTGGCAAAAGTGGGCATACGAGCAGCACTTAAAGTTGAATGTTCTTTGTATCAATCAATTTGGTAAAGAGGTTTTCCTCATTTTTTTCGACAAACACATTCGGGTAAAAAAAAAAAAATAAATTTAACTAAAAAAAAAAAAAACTCCTTTTAAAATGATAAATCCTTCTCCAAGGTTTGTTTAAATGTATATATATAAATATAAGTATTTAAAAAAATTTAAACAAGAGAAAAAAAGTAGAGGATTAGAATTATTATGATAATTCATCTTTTCATGCAATACGTATGGAACAAAGGTGCTCTCAAAAGAAACTAGTTGAACAGAAGGACCACGTGTGCATCTCTGTCGTATTTCACCTAGTTGAACAATTTTACACCGTCAAAAGATCAGACAGATGGTACACTAATATGACTGATAGTATGTCATAAGATAGGCAAAACCTTCAATAAATTATCATATATATATATATATATATATATATATATAATACGTTATTTTTATAGATACAAATATTTAAGTAAATATTCTGTTTATAATAAACAGTATTAATAACATTTACCATCCTGAATGTCTGAGAAATTTCATAGAAAATCTTCCATAACCAGAATCTTCCTCTGTAGCTAAATGTCAGTCCGTCACTGCAAAACTTTCAATATGTCAATCTTGGCGCAGCCATTCAGAACCTGGTCTTTAAAAAAATATTCACCCTATACAAAATGCAAGAACTATTCTAGATAGACGGTTACTGAATGTGGTTCTTTGGAAAAGCGTCCAAGGAGGGAGCAAGATGTGCATATCATGAGGATATGTAGGATGGATAATTGTTAACCCTAGATTGAAGAGGTTAAGACTGAAATGATCGAGGAACCATTTTCTCCCGATTCTGCTCCACAATGTAACAATTCTGGAGAAAAAGTTGTCTGCGTGGAACTTCCTCTTTATTAATGGAATATGAAAAGAATAATAGTGAGTCAATTTAGTGTGCGTGGGGTTGCGGGGTCAAGCTGTGAAAGTCTGGACTGGTGGAACTAAGGAATATAACTCCATTGTACATATGCTATGAAAATAGCGAGAGCCTAGCAACGTGTCGTCTGTAGGAAAGAGGTTGAAGGGTGGAAAATAATAATAATAATAATAATAATAATGACGCTTTTGAACTTTGTAAGGACTGGAAAGTGAGGAAAGGGTCTATGGCTGCAGGAATGTTCATTTGCACACTGTTGCCAATACGAAAGCATTATCGATTGACACGTCACATCTAACCTATGCGGCAATTCTTCGAAATGATCACCCAGCTTCTTGATGACCTACAATCTAATCTAGTCTCAAACTGTCCTGAATTGAACAAAAAGAAACACGTGTATGTTTCTGTGGCATAACGCCTACTTATAGTAGCATTTTCGCCATACCAGAACATTATCGCAGTCAACAGCTAAAGATCAGACCCTGATAGGAGTGTTACTATGCCAAAAGATGCCCAAAGACTTTTAAAATTTTATCAGAAGATCTAGTGTCTTCTTAGATACAGGAACTGTACTTGGGTTCAAATCAATATCATTCTTCAGAATGTTGTTACTTGTAACATGTGTGTGCATACATACATATATATATATATATATATATATATATATATATATATATATATATATATATGTGTGTGTGTGTGTGTGTGTGTGTGTGTGTGTGTGTGTACGTGTGTACTAAGAGCAAAGGACATAAATCAAGATGTTAATAGCTAAGGATTATGGTTCTTAGATAGCTTATCTCCCCTATCTATTTCTTATTTAATTTTAGGTTTCAAATTAGAAATCTTTCCTTCTTTTCACGCTTCCAGATCTCCAAGTGTCTCCTTGATACGCACTTATCAACAGTCTCATAAAGTGTTATTTATTCGGCCATAAATCTCAAATGAACACGAGTAAAGTGTTTAGGATTAGGGTTATACGGATTACCCTTGGATTTAAGGTAGTTAAATATCTTGGTGATCTACAGATGTGGGCAAACTTACCACTTTATCTTCCCTCTCCTTTTTTTTTCTGTCTCCTGAAATAATATATGTACAGTAAAAAAAAATGATATCATATATTTTTTAAAGAAATTTAAAAATCTTGATTTAAAGCAAAAATATTTGAGAAATGGAAATGTAATGCGTTATTTAAAATATATATTTTTCTTCATATAAATACGGTTGATTTACATTATACATATATGCATGGAAAGGGTTCATGCTGTAGAGCGTTCGTTAGTAAGTTAGTCTCATTTGACCATCGTATAATAGGTTCGAGTCTTACTGTGTGTCTCAGTAATTTGGCTTTCATTCAAGTTAATCTATCGTGCACGTGACATAGAGTGATGGATCGTAACTTAGTCCCGTGGACAGCTGATAGTGTAATTTGTTTGATCTTCATTGAGTCCCCACAACTGTGACCTTGTGCCAGACTAACAGCTCATAATCTATCTATCTATCTATCTATCTATCTATCTATCTATCTATCTATCTATCTATCTATCTCAGCCTGTTCATAATCTATCTATCTATCTATCTATCTATCTATCTATCTATCTATCTATCTATCTATCTATCTATCTCAGCCTGTTCATAATCTATCTATCTATCTATCTATCTATCTATCTATCAAATGTAAAGATTGATTTAAAAATTAACAAGAACAAGCTTATATTTCCAGCTTGCACATTCGCACAGACGTTTTGTTATTAGAATAGTTTAGCTGAAAGACTTTGTTGTAGAAAACAATCTTTCGAATTTAATCGAAGAACTATTTTTTCACTGAAGAAACGTAGTTAATATGTACACAGAGGCGTGCAGGCAGAAACTGAAACATGCATTATTTCATATAAGAAATTACAGGACGTAAAATCATTTTTTTTTATTAAGGCTAAGGATATAAAAACTGAAAAAAAGACTGTCATGTAGGAAGAGAATGAGTAACTACTGACACCAAGGTTCGAGCGTGACACTCTGGACTTATGAATATATGTTTTCCGACAGGTGTATAAATAGCGGTGTCAGGCGACTGACTGCAGTGATTATTGACTGATTATTGAGTGGAACTATCCAGCCGAATTAGTGTGAATTATTGTGCATCGATGATTTGGGTCTTGATTTAGAATTTACCGGACGTTAAGCCGAACTGCGCTACTAACGAAGTATTCACTGAAATTGTTAATTATCTTTAGTTAACTTTTACTTCTTTGTTCTTGTTAAGTATTTATTTGCGGTTATAATTAAATAATGTTTTATTTAACATTGAAGTCTTGAGTTATACTTAATTATTAATGGCCACCGAACGTCACAAAAGAGACAAAAACTACAATCAGTCCATTTTTAAAATCCATATTGTTCATTGCACTGGTAATTGGTGACCCTCACACCTGTTTTGTTTTTATGACTCACGCTTATTACTTTCTATTAATTCCTTAAAGAGTCCGATGTATATCTCATAATGACACAAATATACAGATTTCGTAAAAAGTAGGTTATAGAGAGGATGTGGAATTTTGTTTGGTGGATGGGAGGGGGTTGCAAATTGAAAGATCTTAGCTAGAGCAGTAAAAAGTACATAAATCCCTCGTTACCAAAACCTTGCCGAATCTTTGTGAATGACATGCTGTTAATATGAAAAATAGTAATAGGAACATCACGTTGCTAAAATTACTTTTGGTATTGGTATGGATCTGCCATTGTGGACAATTATTAAAAAAGTATATGCAAGAAAGAAAAGAAAGTATAAATTTAATTCTACAAAAATTATTTTATGTTTGAAAATATGGGTAGACGACGTTTAGATATTCTAAGAACGCTATACTTGATGCAGAGGAACGTTATTGATGCACTGATATGCAAACAATATATTAAAAGAAAATGAAAATTAGTTTTTTCCGGCTTACAAGACGCACATTTTTTTCCTAAAAAATACCCTGAAAAATACGTGTGCGTCTTCTAAGACGAATGTATGGCAACGCCCAGGCTCAAGTAAGCATGGACGGTCACCTAATTGGCTTGACTGATAGGGACGTGGATTTGTATGTTGAGTCATTACACTATAATGTTAGCTATCTATCTAATTCAGCTTTTTATATGATACAACCTCAGTACTTAGCTGTTATAAACTACAAACCTTCCCGGAGCCGAGCCACAAGCTTAAACATGCTTTGTTTATTAGCAGCAGCGTGAGCTTTTCTGTTCTTGACTAGTATGTCCTCACCATACAAACAAAATCGAACGAGTGATTGATGTAAACAATACGTGGCGCCAGCATGTGAGGGACGCATGGTGAATGTGTTTGTTGTATGAGAATTTTTTCTCAGAAATTTCTTTCCAGTATTAGTGTGCGTCTTCCAAGCTGCAGCGTCTTGTAAGCCCGAAAATACGGCAATTAAAACATTTAGTTTCATCGTGGTACTATTGTCTTTTTTCGTTCATCTTTTGTCCATTCCTCAATCCTTCTAATACTCAGTCTTTTCTCTTACTTTCACTCTCTGTAGCACCCTACGTAATCGTGGCATTCCCGTATTACTTGGGGTGAAACGATAAAAAAAAATAAAAACAAGACCCCCAAAAAAACCAAAAAACAAAACCAAAAAATAACAAAAGCAACAACCCCCCCGCCAAAAAAACAAAACAAAAAACCCAAGAAAAAACAAAAACAAAAACAAAAACAAAAAAACAAAAAGAAACAACAAGAAACAAAGGTAAATGATATATTCTTGATGGCAGTGGATTAACACTAAAGTACCCGGCAAAAGTTAATTTAGAATTATGATCATCAGCGTTTTTTCTTTCTTTAGTGGCCTTGAATATGGTTGACATTGGTGTCTATTCTGTTCCTGTGAATATTTCAATTGGTTCTCACTTATTCGTTTCTTCCAGTCTATTCGTATCTGTCACTTGATGTCAATCTGTTCGTAAGTATAACAACTCATAGCTATCTCGGTCTTTTCATATCTATCTCTGTTCACATCGAGCAATGTCTTTGTATTCACTACTTTTATCATCACTGACTCGAACAGTTCTTATTCTCCACCTCATTATTTAATATCCTATTTACCCACCTACCCGTCCTTCTCTATGACTCCGACCTCCGTGCCGAATCTATTGGTCACATGTCTGTCGGCCCTGTTTACTGACAACCGCAGTCTGTATCCGCCCAATAGAATTCTCTTCATGCTGCGGCAATTTCTAATTACGTGTTTGTCGTCGGATCGTCACACTACGCTAGGCCGCCATTTTGACCGATAGGAGCGGCTCAGTGACGAAATAATAATAATGGTAATATTAATGATAATAATAATGGTAATAATAATAATAATAACAACAACAACTATAAAAAGCGGGAAGTTGCTTGAATGGAAAACGTTGATTAAAGGGAAAATAACTCGCTAATAAAGTGTTATCTATCGGATTGTAAAGCGGAATTCGCCTCTGATGTATTCGTTCACTGACTCGTGAACCACTGCGTACAGGTTGAGTGACGATCACCATTTGAAAAGATGGCGGGAGCACATTTTATAGATGAAATATATGCGAACAGAAGAGTGCTAACAGGAGCAGCTTGCTGGATAGAGCGTGGGTTGGTGACACTCGTTACTTGACGGTCAGCTAGAAGGTAAAAGAAAGGACTGATTTCGAATGTTAAACAACCTTGTAAAATAACCACAACGGCAATGGTAGTAGTAATTCTCAATTACTTAATTCTCGTACTAACGAGATACAAATACAAAAATATAACTGGCCCCCGGCCACTCCATTGTTTATATAACACTGGACGAGGCAACTTATGTCTCCCATTATGTAATGAGAACTTTCATTTCTACTCTACAAACATCCGTAAAAAAAAAAAAGAAGCAGAAAAAGAAAAAAAAACATTTTCATATTTGAAAATATTTTGTACTTTTAACTAGTTTGTTTATTTTTATTTTTACTTCGGGATGATGGCGATCATAGCTCTCCACAATTTCCTATCCTTTGTAGCTCTTAATAAATCTTGTTTTTGTTATTTTCCCTAAGCCTCGTTACACCATCCATTTGATCAAGCTCGATTAGTAGTTTATACCTTGTTTTCCTCTGTTTTGCTTGCCTTCCATTTATCCTGTGAGTATCAAATTTTCCAAAGCCTCTTTCCTCATTATGTGCCCTAGAAATGTCAACTGTTGTCAACTGTTTCTTCCAGATGCTCCAGATGATAAGTATCTTTTTTGTTTCCATTTTCTCTAAAGCTTTGTCGTTGCTCACGTGTTTTGCCCATTGTATTCCCAGCATCCTTCTGTAGAACAACATTTCTGTTGCTTCAAGTCCCTTTTTAATCTGCCACTATGAAGGACTGGTATTAGGTAAGAGTTCAGTGCTCTTATCTTTGTTTCTAACGAATTTTTCCGTTTCTTAATACTTTTCTTATCTTTTGGAAGGCATCTTTCGCTATTCCAATGCGCCTTCGGATTTCGGTGTCAAACATTCCATCTTTTGTTAAAGTACTTCCCAGATATTTAAATTGTTTTACTTGTTTGATTTTGGTATCTCCAATTTGTAATTTTCATGTTGCACTGTTTTTTTTTTATTTTGCTAACACCCATGCATTCCATCTTCTTGTTTAGTCCTTTCTTCTCACTTTCCTTCACTAGCTTCCGTAAGAGTTCTTGTAGTTTCCTTTCTGTGCTTGCTATCAGCACTGTGTCATCTGCATATCTTATGTTGTTAAGATTGTGGCCGTCAATAATAAATACAGGTAGGACACTCAGAATTGCCTCACTGTAAAGGTTGAATAAGTCCGGTGAGAAGACACATCCTTGTCTTACATCTCTTTCTATTTTTGTATATTTACTGAATTTATAATTTTGCTTGAAATAACAGGTTTCCTTTATTTTGTAGTTGTTTATTTAATTTTAAAATTCTTTTTAACAAATTGCTCTTAAATGTATATTTAGCTAAATAAAATTTACCAATTTCGATGAATATAATGTTTTATTTTATTAAATTCGGGGATGGATAGCAAAAAATTATTTTGAGCTAATCTCCAAAATGCAGGTTGGGGTGGGGGGAATGTCTTTTTGCTTTGAAAATCAGCATTCAAAATTTTAACTTTTAATTCGGCTTGGACTATTTATTTCATCGCAAAAGATGCTGGAAGAATGGTCAGTTCATTGTATCACTCCGGAAAATACCTGACTCCTGTTGTGATGCTTTATCTTTTCTTGAAAAGATAAAGCATGGCAGCTGACCAAAAATAGTGTTTTGCTGCCATATTTGGTCTGTTGCTGCCCAATCTTCACTGTCCAGCCCTGACAGAGATCAAAAGCGCTTACACGCCTTTGTGATTGTTTTATTCTCCATCCTACAACCTTTCTTCATCCCACGGATGAAAAGATACTAGCCTCTCACTACTATATCGCTGTTACTATGTTCAAATAAGTTCCATTCCTTAGTTCCACCAGCTCGAACCTTCACAGACAGGACCCGTTATGGTATGTTCCCGGTGGCAAACAATTCCCAATCTCTTCGTGTTTCTTTGATTAAAAGCAAGTTCCGCTCAGACAACTTCTTACCCAGAACTGTTACTTTACGGGACAAACTCCCGAAAGGATACTTTCCTCACAACTACAATCTTGGTCTTTCAGAATCAACCGATATCTATCCAATTCGTCCTCATAATACTCGCTTACTCCTTCCTTCACACTCTCTTGCAACAATATCACTCAGTAACCCTCTGCCTTGAGTGACCCTTGAACCTTGTATTGGTTGAGCCAAGAGTAAAGATGAGAAATACCAAGCAAGTAGTCCATCTCGAAGATTATTTTCAACGCAAAGACGGGATGCTAGGAACAGACAATGAGAAAACAAGTGATTTTTTTTTCTTTCTTTCTTTCTTTCTTTCTTTCTTTCTTTTCTTTCTTTCTTTCTCACACATACAATTTAACTGCACTTATTTAAAATCCACAAGACCCACCCTGTTTTTACAAACGATGACTGTCTGGTTTTATATAGAGCCCCGAAAGCTCTTCAAATAAGCATTAAATCATTAAAAACTGAAATATCTGTTAGTATCTTTCACGTAAATGATTCAACAAAATCGAACTGCATATCTATGGTGCAAGTAATTCTTTCAAAAGTCTTACCGAAGATTTTTGCCATGTAAAATATTAAAGTTAATTCACTTTCCAGGCTAGAAATCAACCAAGATAATAATCAAATGAACAACTTCGTTGTGCACCCATATGTTCAAAACGCATATAATCTACCATTTTTCTTATAAAACACTCAGCAGAGACATTCCCAACAACCCTACTACTACTAATAATATGGGGTTAACATAAAATATGGTTTTGTATTTGTCGTTAGATAGCATTAGGAGCGTTTATTTTTAAGTTCATTCGAAAAGATCGCTTTTTGTATTGTGACAGCTATCATATGAGCGTAGATTTTTAAAATGTTTTGTTTATATTTTTGCTTTTAGATTGTAACATTGAAGATGAATGAAAATAAACAATGTTTTCGGTTTGTTATAGTTTTTTTTTAATTTTTTAGAGAGGTAAAAATACAATTCGAATTTTTTAAAAATCGGACACATTAATTAGAGAAGCTCTACGCTTATAATCTAATATTTTTAGCATAATACCGTCAGTATTGACATTTTTATTTGTCTTACGATTACGTCTACTTAAAATACTACCGATTTGAGGCAAAAGATCATTCATACTTAGATAGCATTAAAAGCGTCTGGTCTTAACTAACTTCATTCAAAAGTATTATGCTTTTTTGTTAGTTTAAGAAAGAGAAAATACGATTCGAATGCAAAGATTTGTGTAGACTACAGAGAAAGTATTGTGACTGATCAAAAGTGTCAAAAGTAGTTTGCCAAGTTTTGTGTTGGAGGTACTCCACATTCAGGTAAACCAGTTGAAGCTGATAACGAATAAATGAAGATATTTCTTAAGAATAATCAATTTAAACGACTCGAAAGACGACTAACATATTCAACAGATCCGAATCAACTAATAAAACTCATTTACGCAGATTTGGTTATGTTAGTCACTTTGATGTGTAGATTCCACATAAATTAAACGATGAAGAATATTCGCTCGATTGTATTTCCATGTGCCTTTCATTGCATAAACATAAAAATTTTCATTGAATTCCACCTGTGTCTGTTGACGTTCGCTTAGCCATCGGATAAAACATGAAAGGGCAAAGATGCATTCTATCTCATCGACTGAAATGTTAGCAAAATAAATATTGCCTCTGTCATGATACAATGGCTGATGAGGAAGAAGCCATCTGAATTAGTCAGTGGACAGACAACTCTCTCATGGAGCCATACATGTATTAAATGTCAAAGTTGTTACACTCATTGACGGAAATAACATGTGCACTTGTTTTATTTAACCGGTAGATATTATTTGTAGAAAAAGAGATTGATGAAAGAAATAAAACTCTCATTTTTAATCGCATGTTTTCAAATATAAATAGTTGTTTCATAACACGATAGGCAAATATCTGATGCAATATGTTGAAGGAATGTCTTAGTAAAACTTCGAAAAAGTGCTGAAGTATATTTTTTCACATTATTATTATTATTATTATTATTATTATTATTATTTCTTTTGATTTCTGTTGTATTCACATTTCCTTCCGGGTACCAACCAGAGACCTGAGGTCAGAAATGGCTTCATGACATTTTCCACTGATCATTTTTATAAAATACCCCCTCCCCCGCAAAAAAAATCAACCTAAGATCATTAAAGATCTTCGTAATGTGGGAGCTGTATTTGTGAGTACAATTTTTTATATTTCTATAAGGCATGGGCTACCAGGAATGCCTTCACTGAGTCTATTGGAACCTTTTCCAATCAATCCAAGGGCTCCAGCTACAACTAGAATCACTTCATGTACCATATTTTTGAGATTTCCATTTCAAGATCCTTGTATTTTGATAGTCATTATTATTATTATTGTTGTTGTTGTTGTTGTTGTTTTTTGATCAACAAACAAACCAAACTTTGTTGGTGATGGAACCAAATACCGGCTATACTGTCATTTTTAATCGCATGTTTTCAAATGTAAATAGTTGTTTCATGACACTATAGATCGTCGTTTTTAAAACATTTTTATGATCATTCATGCAGTCATGAAATTTTTTGAAATGCCTCATCATAACACTTACCCTCAGCTTCTCCACCCATTTTTAAAGTTCAGTACTTATAATGCCCAGAGCATCACCAATAAGGTTCACTTCAATTCTCTCCATTGACCACAATTCGTAGACTATTCATTTCAAACAATCACAGATTCCCGTTCTTCTTCTTTGCCAACATTTCTATCGTCTCCGGCGCATGCAATTGAATGATTTTTCTTTTATTTCATTTTCTTTTATTTAGCTAGCACTACAATGTCTAGTATTTGGAGATTTTTTGCACTACTTCATGGCCCCACTGGATTATGACATCCCACAAAAGTTTCTATTTATCATTTTCAATAATACCTTCTGGAGTTTGTCCATACCTTTTTTCTGTCCTCTCCAATCAATACTTTTGCATTTCCTGTGTGCCAACTTTATTATTATTATTATTATTATTATTATTATAACGAAGAACGCAATTTAAGAAAAGTGTTTAACACTGTTTAATAATGTTTCGACAGTATGTTTGTCTTCTACAAGTTTAAAAAATTGCATGCAAGTATAAAAAATACAATCTTTGTACAAACGACGCTTGTCTTGAGAAAAACGGATGTAATAGTAATCAACGCTACAAAACGATGGAACGCAGCTAGCGTGAATGGAATGCAACTGAAAATTTTCTTTTTCTTTTCGAAAATAGCGCTCTTCTCTAAGTGTTGCAAAATATTGGAAGAATTACGCAAATCACTATTATTATTACTATTATTATTAATTAATATTCGGATATAAGAATAATATTTTCGTTGCATTTTTTTAATTATATTTATTAATAAGGTTAAAAATTTTATGATTGTAATTGATTCTAGTTGATGATATTTAGAATAATGTAGTCCACAAAATTAATTTGAATGTCGTTTTCAACTATGGAATAAAATGTCAAAAAGATAAAATCAGTAACAGCTTTGCACAAGACAATGATAAGCTTAAAAAATACAATTATTCAACGATGCCAATCAGTTCTCCTTCTGCGATCGTCGTTTTTAATCATTTCCTCCAATTAAGGCGATAAAGTCACTAAGATGCAATGGGTTACTAGGAGTGAAAGAAACTGAGAAAGCGTTATTGAGGAGAAAGGTTATTGAAAGATTATTTATATAGAATGAGCTCCAAATCGGTTTTAATCTCAAGAAAGCTTGCAAGCAAAAAAAAAACAAAAAACCAAAAACCAAAAAACAAAAGCAACAACAACAACAACAAAAAACAAAAACTGGGTACATACGCAGCGTCAAGGTTAAATGTCTTTCTTGAAAAGCAATTCACCAATATAGTGCATTAGCTGTTCACTAGGCATCTCGTTAGTGAGGCCTTGTGACGGACTAAACTAAGTGTTTGCGTATTGAATACTGCTGCCATATCTGGTCTGGTGCCCCTGCTATTCATCTCGAGGTTCTTGACAAAATCCAAAGAAGTATCTGTAATGTAATCGATTCTGACTTAACATCTCGACTTCAGTCACTTTCTCACAGACGTGGTATGGCTTTCCACTGTCTTTTCTAAAAATATTTTCATGGCAACTGCTTTGACGATCTTTTTTTTTCCTGGTGCCCCGACTAAATGAATTTAAGTGTGCTACTTGATTGGCATCTAGGTCCCACTTGTTTACTGCTGAAATAGCTAAATGCAACCGCCACTTTTATTCCAACAGTTTCTTTTCTCGCACTTCCCACCTGTGGAACTCCCTTCCGTTTACTTGCTTCCCTGTTAACTATAATCTTCAAAAATTTAAATGTAACGTCAATCGCAATCTTCTTGAATTCCGTTAATCTTTTGTCTTTTGCCCAATCCTCCCTATGCTAAGTCTTTTCTTTCACTTTCACTCCCTGTAACCCCCCTCCTCGCGTACGAGTGGCATTCCCGCCTTGCTTGGGGCGAAATGATTAAAAAAAAATAACAAGATACATGCACAAACATAGGAACTTTGAAATGTTATCAAGGAATTCAAAGTTTCTTTTGGCGCTCCATTCCTCCTTCATTAAAAATTCTCTTTTATTCATCACGATATTATGCCATTAGCTGTAAGGCTCACACAAAATATAAATGGTAGTCTTCAATATATGCAAATATTTTTGAGATATCAGGACAGTCCTTGATTTTTTGGTTACAGAATACTCTTTGGACCCCGGGCACCAAAATGATGCACCTCCTGGCACGACTTCTTAAAGGGCCTGCTGTTTACAATACAATAGCAGATATATAATGTTTACCGTTGGAATGTATTACCATTTCTTTTTAAGTTAATGTTCAAAAGATCTTGTTGACAAAATGGTTTTGTATAAAGATTTTGAAAAGTTTGATGAATACATTTTGAAGAAAACAGACAACGGCGCCGTTCATAAAATTCAGTGTAATAATAATAATAATAATAAAATACAAAAAAAAGAAGCTTAAACGAGTACAGTCCACACCTTACGAAGGGCTTTATGTAAAATGTGTGTGTGTGTGTGTTTTAAATTGCTCAGTGGAAAATGTCATTTATGACCTTAGGTCTCTGGTCGGGATCCAGAAAGAAATGAGTACACATCAGAAATCAAAGGAAATAATAATAATAATAATAATAATAATAATAATAATAATAATAATAATAATAATCTGAGGAAGAATAGGAACCCAGCTAGAATACTTTGAAGTATAGTGGAATATTGAGGAAACTTGCTGTCTCTTGATCTCTTGTTTAACTCAACAGTTATTACTGGTTTGAATACACAATGAAAAACTATAATAATAGGGATATTGAACAGAAGTAGAAGTTTATCCATATTTTCCTGTTTAGGATTGGGTTTCCGGTTCATTCTAGTCTCCTCGTTCTCTTTCACTCCCAGTAGCCTCTTGCATCTTAGTGGCATTATCGTCTTGCTTAGAGTGAAATGATAAAAAAAAAAAACGTACATGTAGAATAATTATATTCAGTTATGAAAGGATAATTGAAAAAAATATGGTAAAAATTATAGGAAAAGTTTTTTTTTTTTTCTTTTTTTTTACTCTTTTTAGTAATCTTTTCTTGTCTGCTTTCCCCGAAGCTTTTGTGGTTGTCAAATCAGTTTGAAGCGGTCCGTTTATGCCGTGTACCGGGTAAGGCGAGGCTACTTAGTCCTACTCCACCCACACGACGTTTCATCTTGTAATTATAACAGGTATTCAAAGTATACACACCTTTAAAAAGAAAAGAAAAAGAAGAAAAACGGAAAAAAAAGGAAAATAAAGCCAAATAGAATATGCTATTTATAAAATCTTTTATTCAAAAGACTCCCGCTTGCGTGTACATGCATGTGCACGCACATGCGCGCGCACAAACACACACGCGCGTACACACATACACGTCTTCAGTTTTACCTATTTTTCTACCAATGTTTCTTTGGTTTAAACTCTTTGCTCAATACTCTTTATTGCATTTATACTTACATATTAATATACATATACATGACTTTTATTACTTGAAACGTTATTTTTAGCGGATAACCGTGTGGAGACCGGTAGACGTTATACACACTGATTAATATTAAAAAAGAACAAACAAAAAACAAAAACGAGGCGTCTATTTCAAACATGGGTGCACACTAAAAATAATGCTTGACATCATAAAAAATAGCGGCTTAAAAATAAATTGATTAAATTCTTTGTAAATTGCTTTATACACATCAAAAACTGCATTCAATATTATATTATATCTATCTATCTATCCAATATATAGATAGAAATAAATGCCATTTTTAGAGTAATATATATATATATATATATATATATATATATATATATGAATGCCATTTTTAGAGCGAAATAATATATATATATATATTTATATATATACATTTTGAATGCCATTTTTTAAATGTTATAATATATATATATATATATATATATATATATATATATATATATATATATATATATATATATATATATATATATATATATATATATATATATATATATGTATATATATATATTATTATATATATTATGTGTGAAAGAATAGAAAAAGTGAGAGATTTATAAAATTATAATTAAGAGGTAGATTTGTTTGTGTCTTGTATTTTCATTAAAACCTATAAGTGCTCTGTAAAATCATATATGTTCTAAATCAGCTTAATTCAGGAAAAGTTCTCATTGTATGTATTTGGGCCCACACACATCGGCGTAGTACCTTTACAGATCTCAACATCCCGCTACAATAACAAATTCAACGAATGCCGTGGTTAATAGTTTCGCGCGCATACTTTACTTCCTGGTTTTTGCTGAAAGAAAAACACTTTTGTCTAATTTCAATGTCAATTTTGAAGGGAAATCTAATCAAATCTAATCTAATCTCTATTAATAAAATCTGAAGCTTTACTTCTGTTAATTAATAAACAAAACAAAAATCGTTTCCATTTAGAATCGATTGTCTGTCGTCTAGC